CTCTCGGACTACATTCTAAAAACCAGGCAGTTTGTCAAGAATTTTTACTAATGTTTGGATACTTTCTGTTTCTTTATTCTCTGATAAGGGATTGTCTGTTGGATAGATTTAAGTAACGGATTCAATTGAAAAGCTTTACGGAATAAATCCACTTTTAATGTACATATAGCTTTACTGCGTTCGGTTTAAGTTATCAACATAATTAACCGGTCTGACACAAGTCGATTTACATAAATTACTGTTACCTTTAGGAATTAAGACTTACTCCTGTTACTCCCAATTGAGCATATGCCGTCGACCAGCATTCTTCAACCTACTGTTGTCATTAAGAGGATATTCCTCAGCTTGATCATTTTGTTTGATAACCTATGGATTATGTTGTTACCTATAATACTCTTTTTAAATTTATTGATACTGTAGATGACTTGATCATATTAGATAAATTCACTATTAGTATCTTAGTATCTTCCGTACAATCATATCGGTATATTTGAGTTGTTAATCCATTTTGTAATTGTTATAATTGATTTTGTTTTTATTTCTAAAGGTTTTACACGGTATACTGGAAATTGGAGGCTCAGTATTTGTAAATCTTTATGGTAATCAAGCAAAACGTCTTTTAAATACCATCAGTATGATTGTCAATAAATCACCTATACTACGCCAATCACTACCAGAAATGCAATTAATGTCGTTGCTTGAAAAGTATGAAAGTATCGATACAATTCCAGATCGAATTGGTTTTATTGATAAGAGTTTTTGGGATTCTGTATGATGTTCATCCGCATGTAGAGATTGTTTTTATTTTTATAGTTCGAGTTTTGTATATATTTACTTTTGTAAATAAAAATATACTTTTCAAAAATAGTGTTCTATCACACTATTTCAATTCATTTTTAGATTTATTATGTATTTATGGAGATTTGTCATGTTGTGTGTTTTATTTTGGCATGAAACACACTTATGTGACTTTTATTCGGTTATTAAAATGGAATTTGATTTAAATGGTATCTTTTGAAATAGTTACATACGTCCAAATTAAGTTCTATAACTAAGCTATGATGAAGCGTAGATTTTAAATAGTGCGGAAAAGTATTTTTTGTTTAGTTTTTTAGAAAGTCAGTAGGTTTTTAACATTTCGGAGTTAAATTTGCAGGCTAAAAGATCTACAACACAACTCTCCTATCCACGGTAATCATAAAAGTCAATAGCATAGTCAAGAGTGAGGTTTCGTTCAGAAAGGGATGTTTGATCTGTCATTGATGCTGGATGGAAGGAAGCTTAAGAAATCCTCAAGACCTAGAGTTACTTTAAGTTACGGCCACATGACTGGGATTATCTGACTTTACCATATAACTGGCCCATAGTTCAATAAAATTCCAAGTCCTTGAATTTAAATGAAAATCGCAAACTTATGTCTGTAAGTTCACTTGTTTCAAAATAGGCTATTGTCGGTGATCCATTTGTAATACCATCTGTATTTCTTCCCACAAACGCTTCTCGAAAACTTTCTCGTTATGTCATGTTTATCTGTCTTCTACATGTTTTGATCACTAACTCTTAGGAGCTGCGGGTTGTATTTAGTAAAAACCGTTGAGCAAACCAAACTAGCTTAAGATAAAAAAAGTTGAGAACAATTTTGGGAATTCAGGTCTATCGAAAATGTTTAATGGGTTCCAGTGACTTCAGCTTTACATTTATTCCCACTTATCCAATGTAATGTCTTCCACCAGCTAGTCATTTCACACTTTATCCTCGTGGTATCCCAGCTTTTATGTTTTATCTCTAACAGTTTTGCCACTCAGTATATTCCAATGTTTATAACTCTTAGTAGTTCGGAATATATTGTAGGTCGAATGAACTGTCACTGGGCCTTAACCAGATCATCCGGCGGTTGGGTCATTAAATATCAAACAGTTCGCCGATCCCCGTCAAGTTCAAGGATGACCGACACGCATCAGTTAGTTGCACGTCATGGACTGGTCTATAAGGTGGTGGTCACACTCTATTCCTTGTGCCCACTCTTACTAATATATTTCTGTGATGATATCCTTTGTGTTGTATGGTCGTCAAAGCAGTCATAGTACCTGGATACAACGAAAGAGTAATTCACGTCAAATTCTGACTATGAGGTGTGACTTTGAATTTAGCCGGTCTGTTTACACCGTTCCCGTCTAACTTGGGTAGGCTCCAAATCATTCGACAAAGTTTGTTTACGCCAGTGATCTAAATTACCGGTAATTAGAGAGCTTAATAGCACAATGGGCTTTGCAAATAAGCCTTTGAATGCTCATGTACATATTTAGTTCTTTCAACAGTCAACTGTACTGTAAGGCCAGTCCTGGTGAATTTCCAAATCGTGTATTCCTTATTCTCAAATCTAGTGGTGATGACAAAAATAATCATGGTTGTAAATGATTGGTTTTGTACCCTCATTTACTTTTAATCACTCAATTTCTTAATATAAATGTAGAAAATCGGTTACAGGTCAGTCTGGAGACAAGTATGAGCGTTTATCAACGACTTGATCATCGGACTTCAATTTCCTGCCGGGAAGTGTTAAAAGATATATGAAGCAACGTAGGATTAAATCTCTTTACATCCAGCAGCATTAATCAATCTGTAGCAGCATAGTTGGATATTACCAAACCTTTCTATAAAGTTGTAACAATTGTACATTTTCTTATTTTTATGCATCATGATTGTTCACGAGTATCACTCTTTCGACTGTTCATTCTCTTCACGCATCTCTCAGATTTTGTTTTCTGGTGGCGTGTGATCGTAACATACTTGTTTGAATTCCACGTATGAGGTTCTTTTGAATCGCATAATCTGTTGTCTGTTTTATCACAGTTAGGCCTCAGTGTGCTTAGTGAAAAGGTGGTTCGTACTAGACTAACCAAAATTTAGTAGTTATACGATCGATAATTCGCAATTATAAGTATCTCTAACAACTTAATATTAGAGGGGACACTAAATTTTGATTTACTTTGAGTTTTTTGGATGATAGTATTATTTGTTCTTATTCTATTTCACACAGTTAAGAAAATGTTTATACATACTTTTAATCGCAACTTAATATCCTCCCAAGTCAAATGTCGGGTTATCAAAACCGTCGTGCATAAATTCATTTGTGATTAAGCCTTGAATGACTAACAATACATGTACTGTAGTGACTAAAATAGCTACAGTGCCCAGTTCTATGCCAAGTCTAGATGTGTTATTCGTTCCTCAGTCACATTTTGATCTGATCGATTATTCCCTCATTAACCCTGGTCGTTTTTATATCAGAGTATGTGTATGTATCGCCTACTCTATTCACATAACTTCAGCTAATCTTTGTCTGACTATAAATATGGAGATTAACACTAAAATTAGGTGACACAAAGTTCATTCTTGAACCAAGGTTAAACAGTAAAAGGCTAGGCAAGGAAGACTAAAGAACATAAGGTGTTGTTGAGAGAGACCTGAATAAAGGTTAAAATACAAGACAGGAAAAAGAAACAACTAAATTACAATGCTGTCATATTTCCAATGTGTTCTCGTTACATCTAGTCTACGGGTATTGTTTACAATACTTGTCGTAACTACACCACTGAGATACTGACTATAGGTCCTGTACATGTGAACGGGATAGCTCAGCGTCTTTCGCGGTCACTGGTCAGTTTGGATCAGTCACTCCTCAATATATTGATAATATATCTTCCAACCTCCTCGCTTGTGACTACAATACCTCTGGTATCTTCAGTAGCCTTTTTTATTTGAGAAGATAACTTGGGTCAAATAAAATCATACAACCTGTAAATTCGCGGGCAACATAGGTTTCGTGAGAAGCATTCATGCTGAAGAAACTTACTAGTTGCAAGAGAGGGTTGGACAGTAGCACAACATAATGGTTTATCTTTTGATGTGCTATTCATGGATTTAGGCAAAGCATTTGATGAGATTTTTCACTCTTCTTATGTAAAAGCTCGTGTTTTTGAATAACAGGTCCCGTACAATACTGTATAGGAAACTTCCCCTCTATTACTGCATGAGAATTAATGGGCAAATGTTTGAAAGTAAGCCGGTCGAAAGTGGCGCACTCCAAAGCCCCATCTTAGTCCCCATATCTTTTCTTCTCTCTACACCAGTGAAATACCGCGACTGGTTAAGTCCTCAACATAGCTGGTAGCAAATGATGTCAAAATCTGGACAACAATAAGTCGTGAGGCTAATCACTGTGATCTTCGTGGTGATCTAAACTAATTAATTGGGTGTTCCCAAAGCTGGGGCTTAGAAATTGATCCTATAAGAGTGTGCTCCTGTACATCGGACATGGTAATAATTAACAGTATACTAGCAACGGTATATCACCTTCATGTGTGGGGTAACGAAATGACCTGGGGGTAACATCAAAACCTGACCTAAAAACAACTGCGCATTGCGACGCACCATTTACCAAAGGTTTTCTAGAGTTCTCCGAGCATCCGACTGCTTTCACGAGGAGAGGTTTCAGACTTCATATCCCACCTATGTAAGACCATATCTAGAGTTCTGGTTTTAAAGCAGGTGGTCTACGGCTGATTAATCATGCTAGCACGCTCAAGAACGTTCAGCATTTAGGAACGAACTAAGCGAATGATCTCTCCAAACTCTTTTACGATGATCGCTTAAAACTCCTGAAATTTTTCCTCTTATCGTATCGTAGAACGCAAGGCTACCTTATATTGTCATTTCTCCTCTTTAATAATAATTTGGGCGTCATTATGTCTTGCTATTTTTCTCTGCAGAACTAATCATCTCCGAGCCTAGAGCAAGAAGGTTTAAAAATCACTATCTTAAACTCAAAGTGGGTTGTTATTCTCATCAGGTAGTTAATGACTGGAACGCTCTATCCAAATAGTATTAGTCCCATCGGTGAACATTCTCATGAAGAACTTTAACCTCCACTGGGAAATAGGCTCTAATGATCAACACAGGCCCACCGACCTACTATAGTTGTTACTGAAGTCTTAAGCGGTATTTTTGTAAAGTGAGGTACTTTGTCTTCACACTGCGCAGGTTGCTCAACCTTTCTTAGAACCAGTTTTGACTGAATAATATCCTATGCTTTGTACTCTTTAAAAAAAATCACCTATATTAAGTATTTATTTTAGTAGCTTACCTCCTGTGAAGGTCGTTGCGCTTAAGATAACTAAATAAAATAAGTCTGAGTAAATGAAGGTGGACTTTGAGGGAATACAAACGACACTAGCTAAAAAAGATGGTGTTAATTCGGGTAACATTACTGTCAAAAGTTGATTTTTTTACGCTGGGGAAATAATGAGACATTTCACTCAAATGTCTCGAACATTTTACCGATCCAGACCGTAGTGATTGCCAAACCGTACACTTTTCACCTGAATGTACGTAAACTTCAAAAACCTCTTACGCTTACTACATTTATTCTTTTTATCACCTTAATAGCCTGGAAATTCGCCTTTACTTTTCTTTGAGAATGGACAGTACTTACGATAATAGTTAACGCAGAGTATGAAATTATTTTAATCGTTAGTATTTAACAAAACTAAAATAAACATGAACATTCCAGTGGGGGTTATACGTTCTCATACGTTCTCATTTATAAAACCATGTGTTGTACTGGCTAGAGGGTTTCGGACTCCTTTTCCACTCATCAATAAGGATGTGAATTTTTTATTTTAGTAGACCTACAGGACAGTAGTTAAAACAGGACGTGATAACTAGTGCTTCCATGTAATCGGAGTTTACTGAGGCCCCTGTTACTCACTGTTCCTAGTAAGGTGAAGTCAATGGACAAGTTTGGGGTGAGGATGTACTCCAGAATAATTGTAAGAGATGTCTTTGGGTTGTCGTCCATTAAGTTTCTCACCTTAATCATCTGAAATGTAAATCAATCGTCTAATGAACAGTCAAACTTACAAATCTGTCCCTGACATCTCGTAGCAGACATGTTTCCAGAGTCTCTAACTCTTTCTCAGTTGACAGAGGGAAACGAAACTCTCGCAGCTTGGAAGTACTGGTCGCCGTTGGCTGAAATGCTATATTGTTTACAACCTTCATTAGTTGTTTAACATCTGCAAACAAGTCTGATATTGCTCCCAAAAGGTGTTTCAAGCTAGCACATACTCTTGATAAGCTATTAAAGTTGAGACAATTGCCCCCATGACTTATTATACCGTTAGACCGCATGTTCTTGTTGATGTAGAAGTTGACTGGTGTACTTTTATCCCAGTTGAACTTTTTTATATATATTTATAATAAAAAAGGGCCTACTTAGCTACCGGTGACAGACGTTTCAGTTAACTGTAACTTCGGATGCTTGATGTTGCTGAATCCAGCCTGCAATTCAGCTACATTCAAGTCAACATAATGGTAAAAATAGCCGTATTTTCGTTACAGTGACTTTCTGTCAGTTATTTATAGGTTTAATGTATTTACATTCTAGGCTTCACAATGCTCAACAGTACTGTGTTTTCATCTATGCTTCCTGTTGCGTTTGCACCAATGATACATCCTGCACAAGACGCGAAGTCTTTATCAGCATCAAAATCGTCTACCGTAACCTTAATAACTTTTGTTGAGACTCACCAGTGTAATGCGACACTTTGTATTTTACGACAAACCAGTCTTCTATCACACTGACCTCTAGTATGTCAACGTCTCTGATATTTCCCCATACACATGAACTGATTATAATTCAAAATTCATCTACTAACAACCAAAAGAAGTTGCCTCTTCATCCCAGCCTCAATGATAGAGAATTTATTAGCTTGATTGTGAGAAAAAAACTAAGTGAGAATAGTGAATTCAACTTTAAAATCATCACTTTATTATCTCAAACGTAACGGGATTACCACTTCGTAATTATTCTTCCTTATAGGCATGCGCATATGAACAATGTCTACCAAATATCCACATGTGCTCATGGCTCATTAATGAGCACATAAAAACAACTAGACTAGCTAAGTTTAAACCTTATGCTGACCTTTCAGGCTTCTCCTTAGAACCCATCACATCTAGTGATATAAGTAAAGGTACATTTCCGGACTATCCAGGCGAAAAGTGGACAGTTTGAAAATCACTAAGGTTTGGATCGGCAAAATTTTCGCCTCATAGGAGACATTTAGGCAAAATATCTCATTATTCCCCCAACGTAGGTAAAAACCTTTTTTTGATGTAATGTCACCTGAATTAACACCAAATTTTTTTTGTCCATGTCCCTCGTATTTCCTCAACGTTCGCTTTTGTTTCCCTATTCTTGTTTTATTGTGTAGTTCCTAGACGGTTGTAAAACTACTTTTGACCTGATGAATGGCCAAAACATTACCTGTTTAATTGTTGTTTTTCTAAAACACAAGAAAATAGTTTACGTTAAGATGAGAACAAACTAATTGTTGATTCCATATGCTACGTAATACAGAAATATACATTCAGTTTTCTCCTATATTAGCCCTAAATTCTTGATTTTGATGTTCCCTGTACTCGTCGGCTAATTGGGGCCTATAAATTTCAAGGTTGTTTTTAACGTCCCTGTAGTTAGGTTATATAGGAAGGTTTAATTGTTAGGTAATTTAACTTTCTAATATATTTTTTTGCACAGGCATTTTAGGTTATTAGTTTCTGGGTATATTGTCTCATAACCAGTGACATCATGTTTTAATCGGCAGTAACTAACAGTGACACTTGGCTCTATGACTTGCGAATAAGTTCTCTTTCTTTTTCCGTATGTAAACTCACGAGATTTTGATTTCACTGTACTGTCAATCATGTATATCCTCTAAACGTTTAACTCAACTTAATGTCACCGGGATTCCAAATACATTCAAAACCTCAAGTATCACATTATCTGTGCTTATAGTTGATTGTTTTGAGGTAGGCCAGTATGATTTAACCTTATTAATCTGTAAGATATTAACCAGAAACATCGAATTAAATCCATATTTTACACTGAGGATGTCAGCAAACAGATATGTATTACATTTTACACTTTATACAGAAATGCCATCAACTCAAAATACGGTTTCTGAACGAGATCCGCGCTACTGTCGCCAATGGAAGTGTCAAGTTTCTGTGGGTGAATTATATCGATGGATTTTAGCGAAACTTTCGGACAAAGATATCAAGCGGGCCCTGCATAAATACCGAGATCTAATGCCTAGACAATCGGATTGGAACAGAAAACTGACACAAGCTACGAGTATGCCAGAGCTTGGTTTCCGATATCTGTATCGATGTGGACAGATAGATGAAAGTAACCATCGAACTATGCAGAAAATGCTGAAATATATCGATCGTCAAGATGTGCTGCCATATTTTGATACAATTTTGTACAATACCAACCATTCTAATTGTTCTTTGGAGGAGCTACAAAAAGGTAATGTTACGTTCTCCTTACCTAGTTCCAATTTCAGTTCTGTTGGATAAAGTTAACGTGTTTTTGGAATATTCTTCTACACTGTCTGAAGAAGAAGTACATCCAGAGCCTCCATACGAAATAATACGACGCCAACCAGTTGAGGGCTCACGAGTTACAAGGTACGTATCTCTCATCAGTTTGCTTCATTAAGGTCACTATTTGGTTCAAAAACACCTGGTCCTACTCATAGTATTTCTCTGACATGTCTTATTTTATTTATTAGCTTTCAGCCAAAAAATCCTTTTTAAGTCGAGTTAATAATTTTTTCCATCAGTAACGATACTCTTCAAGCCATAAGGAAATTTATATTACTTTATCCATGATAGCCTTTCTCATTAATAACGGGCCGCTGTGATAAGGGTGGAAGTCCCCTGTCCTTATTTCTTAGAAATCTCCCCACCACTAAATAGAGTGTAGTTGAAAACTTAGATGGCACCAGGTTACATTCTTTATAAGTGGTATATCCAGTGATTTATCATTTCTGTTGTAATTCACTTATCTCCTATGTAATTTCTCATCCTGAGTTTTTTTGTTCTATCTTTTTATCGAATAAATTCTATTTTAAAGACTTAGTCTGAAAAGGAAATCATCTGTTGGTAGTACTGGTAATATTGCATCTGTGAAACGAGGGCGCCGGTCTATTAATTCCTCATCAGAGACTGGTCAAGTTAGTGATTTCGAAAATTCACCTCTTCGGCACTGTGGCAAAGTGCGATCGGCGATTATTTCCAATTCACTAAATGGTCCTGTTGTGCACACTATGCTTTCAGCATCACTTATTAGCATGTTGGCATCTTTACATACTACCTTATCTCAAACATTCGATAATCCCGGTGTATCATCAATAACTTCTAATACATCGAATAGTATTACAACTGGAAGTTGTATTAGTGGTCCGAACTCTTCTATTCCTAAGAATTCTTTAATCTCTCATTTATTGGCTATTATCCCACATTTGATTGCTGTTTCACGTGCTGCAAATCAAGTATCCAATCCAAGTCTACTATCTAGTCCGGCACTACCCTCTCGAATATCGAATCTTCCAAATAATATAAATAATAACAATTCAGGGATTTTTGGTTCAAGATTTGCCGGTATTCCTAACAGACCGGTAATCAATGTGGATAGACGGCTGCCTCAACAGGTTCAAGATAATGTAGATCCTGCTGCTCCGGTTGTTTTAGATAATTTAAATCACGAACAGAACGTTCAAGATCCAATCCACCCTGTCATACCTGGTGTTCGTGCGCCACTCATCAACCCTCCTAACTTGGAAGCAGATCGTCCAGGCGGACTGTTGTTTGCACCTCAACCTAATATTCGACTTGCAGATGGTGGATCACCTCCTGTAGTTTCTCAACATTCGACAAATCCCCCTGTTTTATTAAAGCATGTTGTTTTGTCAAGCGGAGGAATAGGTATTACTGCCTCGCCACATGATTCAGTAATCCAATATTATTGCAATATTAAACTGCATGTCAATATTGATTTTGGTCCTTCTACAGAAAGTTTAGTGAGTTTTCTATCACCTAACGTAATTGTCAATAATTTGTATGTGTTTTTTAAGTTATCTAGGTGTCATTAAATTTATTATCTCAAAAAACCCCACCAATTAAGAGATATTCTTAACTCGGACACTGATATCGGACAGTCAGTCACAACGTTGAACCTGTTAAGAATGTGCATCAGTTCAAGTTGCCGTGCACCATCAACACAGAGAGATGAAATTTTCAGGTCAGATCCCCAAATATTAGAGGTAGTAACAGTATCAGTGGTAAAAGGAAAAATTATACATCGAAGATACGAGTCGAAAAGGTATAAATTAGTGAAATAGAAATAAAATTTTTATGAGGAATTCAAAAGCTGAGAATTTAGGGAAAGGTAAACAATAGATGCGCTTGTGTCATTACAGACAACCTCAGTTGGTGACGAGATGCCATACGTTTTTCAAGTGGTCATTTACTGTAAAATCATGAATTCTAAAGTTTATTAGTGTTTTTGACAATCCATTTTTGAAGCGATTAATAGTCCAGCAGGCGTTCTTACATTTAAAGTTTTCAGTAACCACTATCTTTGATAAGGAAAGTAGGTTAAAACCTTCAATTTGAAGATTACAATTTTTTCGAACTTTTTAGTAGCTTATATTGTACTTTTATTTATCATTAAGACATGTGTTGGGTTTCTAAGTTACAGTTGTTGAGTTACTTTCAATATTTCCGACGTGTATCATTCCTTACTTTTTTTCTTTGGCTACAAGAGTTTACATTGCTTGAAATTTATAATATGCCTTGATGATTGAAGCCATCGATCATTGATCTGAGCCGTGTTGATAGGTGCAGATTACATGGTTGGTGTCCGCTCTATTACTGCGATCAGAAGTTGGAGACGTTGGGTGACATGACCCAGAATTGGTCATAATTACGCAGATCCACTTACCATTCATCTTTAGGCCTGGAATCCCTATTTCCTCTTTTCGCCCTGTCTTCTCGTATCATATTCCCTATGTTTGATCTCTCTCATTATCATTACTACCACGCCATTTTGGTTTCTTTGCTAGTTTCACTCCGTAGTGTTATGGTATGACACCTTGGGTCAGCCCATACTTAAGGGGACTCTACATTGATTATGACTGACTGACATGGTGATCTTGTATCAGTTAGTCAGTTAGTTATAAGCAACTTAGAACCTGGCATGTATGTATAGTAAGTGAGAACGCAGGTGAAAAAAATCAATTTATTATTCAATGCAAAATTGCAGTGTGAGTTCACAAAATATGAAAACCATACGTTAAATACATTATTTACACATCTTCCTTCAGCTGTCCTTTGTGTGCTTCATAATTCTTTCAATTCTGTTATTAAAACTGCTCTATGTGTCTTTTCCTGTTCTCTTCATTTCAATCTTCTGGCAGGCATTCCGCATTCAATTACTGCTACATACTACTTAGATCTGTCAGCATAAATAGTTTGCACCACATATGTACACCGATTCAAGATACCAAACCATATCATTATAACAAGATAAAATTACAAAGATGAATACCAAATTAATAGCGGTAAAAACAGTATTGATGAAAGGTGTGGTAATGGGTTCACCGATTTCTCCGATTGTAGCGAATTTATTCACGCATTCCCTAGAAACCAGTGCGATCAGAAAATGTGTATATCCACCAAAAGTCTGGTTACGGTATGTAGAGGACATTTTTATTATCACTAAACGGAATGGTTTAGAATTGTTTTAAAATATAAACAACACAACAAATGAATTAGAGTCCAGTGATTACAAACTAGCATTTCTCTATTGTTTGGTTGAACGAAGACAATAATATGTTGAAAATTAATGTATTCATGAAATCAACATATTCTGAGAGATATTTAGATTACGGTTCAGCTCATGAGTATTGTATGAAAGTCACAGTCGTAAAAAATAAATTTAAAGCAATATTAATCTCGTTATAGATAAAAAGACCAACAGGTTAAATTGAATGGAGTTTTGTCTACACTTAGGGAATAACAGTTACCCCAAGGAGTTTTTAAAGAAAATTATTAGAAATGAAAGATTTATTTATTTATTTATTTAAACATGTAAAAATTGGTACAAGGGGGCACCAGATATATATGCGCCGCACAAATCTCATTTGATTTGTGTGAGGGCTGTGATACTGTCCAGGTGCCCAAACTGAAGCAGGAGAAATGAAAGAAAAACTAAACTAGAATGTATACCGAAAGATCTGAAGTCCACCGTGGTCATCTTATATCGTAGTGAAACATCGGAAGAAATAAAGGGGATTCTAAACAAACATGATATGAGTGACACCATAAGATCAGCATTAGTAAAAGTTAAGGACAGGCTCCCGATGGAAGAACAAGAGAATGTTCTCTATGAGATCAACTGTCATGATTGTAATGGAGATTATGTGGGAGAAACTTCAAGACAATTGAATGTGAAGTTGTAGGAACACAAGTAATGTTTTAAAAATGTCCCCAAATCTTTGATTGGTCTGAAGAAACTTGAGAATAGGTCGGTGATATCATTACATGCGTTAGAAACAGGACACAAGATCAGTTTAGAAAGGACCAAAATACTACAGGAAGATTTTAGGGCGCATAAAGAAAGATTGACAGCAGAAGCGCTGTATATATGGGCGGATATGAACAGCCTGAACAGCAAGGATGGTATTCAACTAGCAACTACTTGGCAAATATACGTTAAGAAGTAATTGGACCTGTTAGTGGGATATAGATTGGATTAAGCATGTTTTATGCATGATGGTGTTGCTGCGCGCTGATTGGTTAATTCTAAACCGATCAGCCCGGGCATATTATTGCAGAAAAATCTATAAGCTTCTTATGTATATACTATAAATATATGAACATTATTTAAACTAGTGATTGCTTTTCACTTATTATTATTATTATTATTATTTTGAATACAATTTCATTCCTGTTCAACGTGTTCTGATTTTGGGGTCTTGTCGAGTGTCATCGTATAAGAATACTAAGCAATAGGAATAGCTGGGTCGTTTATATAGCAAAAATTACAATTATAACAGTGGCGACGAGGAAAATTCATTCAAAATGCCTATATCAGATGACCAGCTCAGCCGAATACTACAACAACAGCAAGCACAACTTGATGCACAAATGCGGTTGTTGGAGTCTCTGATGCAACAGTTTAGCATCCAAAACTCGAGTTCACATGCCGTTTCAAGTACTTCTTGTAATGCAGTTGCTATCAGCATCCCAGAATTCATCTATGATCCCAAAAGTGGAAATACTTTTCTCACGTAGTTCAAGCGTTGGGAAGATACATTTAGAATAGAATTCTGTCAACAAGATGACGCATGGAAGACTCGGTTGTTGATGCGTAAGTTGAGAAGCAATGAACATGCACGTTATGCTGATCATATATTGCCAAAGTTTCCTCGAGAGCTCAGTTTCGAGGAGACAGTAACGCAGTTGTCAGAGATTTTCTGCGAATCTTCCTCATTGTTTAGTATTCGATATCAGTGTCTGAATTTGGTGAAACGTGAAGCCGATGAATATGGTGCTTTAGCAGACGTCGTCAACAGAGAGTGTGAATGTTTTAAGTTACGCTCGTTGACAGAAGATCAATTTAAACGCCTTGTATTCATCAAAGCTCTGCAGTCACCACAAAATGCTGAAATTAGAACCAGACTTCTGACTCGTTTGGATCAAAACCCAAACGTCACACTCAATACATTGACAGATGAGTGTAAACGGCTACAAAACATCAGACACGACAATCAGCTAATTGAACAGGTAAATTATAATTTAACCTGCAGTAGTGTAAATGCTATGACTATGTTAAAAAGTCAGAAGCCCAATAAAACTCATAACAAACCAACGAATGCCTGTTGGTTATGCGGCGATTGGCATTATGTACGGTTCTGTCCATTTAAGAAGTATAAATGTCAGGTGTGCAACAGACGTGGACTTAATGAAGGCCATTGCCCACCGAATCGTACCTCCCAGCCCAGCAAGAAGTATAAACGTCTTCCACGTGTGGTGAAATCAGCTGAGTCTAAATCTCTTTCTCTGGTAGCAGCTTTTCAAACAGACTATGACATTCGGAGAAAGTATGTTACGATCCAGATTAATGGTATAGCGGCTCGTCTTCAAATTGACACAGCATCCGATATTACTCTAATATCCAGAAAAACGTATAACTTGCTGGGAAAGCCGCCAATGAAGCCATCGAAAAAAACGGCTAAAACCGCATCTGAAGGTGTACTGAAACTAGTTGGTGAATTACAGTGTGAATTTTCCTTCAATGGAAATAACTGTAAAGGGGCATGTTATCTAACAGAACGACCGAACCTTGATCTACTTGGTCTAGATATGTTAGAAAAGCTTGGATTAATGGATATACCCATCAACAGCGTGTGTAACGTGTCGTGTCCATCATTAGACACCACCTCATATGCAAAAAAGACAAGTAAATCGGTTCCAGAAATACGAAGTGTAGCAGCAGCAGCAATTCGAAACACTCCAGTGTCGTCAGATGAAGTAAGAAAAGACTTTCCAGAATTTTGTCAGCAGAACGGAATCAGGCATATCCGAACACCTCCATTCCATCCGCAATCGAATGGCCAGGTAGAATGTTTTGTTGGTACGTTCAAAAATGCTCTAAAAAAATCAAGAGGGGAGGGGGACACCGAAGAGATCTTAGAGAAGTTCTTGTTTATCTACCGTTCGACACAGAACCCTCAGACAACGAATGGAGTCTCCCCAGCAGAAGCGTTACTTGGCAGAAAAATACGTACACATTTTGACAGCATTCGTCCGACTCCAGCTCTTAAGCCGCAACGAAACGTGATGATGGAGAAACAGTACAATAGTCATCATGGGGCACAAAAACGATTGTTCAGTGTGGGTTAAAAGGTACTTGCTATGGACTATCGAGGAAAACATCCTACATGGATAGCTGGTCGGATCGTGCATAAGAAAGGAAATGTGGTTTACAAGGTGTCCGTTGGTTCAGAAATCTGGGTGCGTCATGCTAACCAACTGAAATCAACCTCGATTTCTAACAACGAAACGCAGCATAGATTACCTCTTGATGTTCTGCTAGACACCTTTGAGATCAAAACACCTGAAACAGACAGGACAGTCAAGGTGCAAACGAAGGATGATACAACGTCCTTATTACCTAGAAGGTGGACTAACCGGAAGCACAAACCAGTAAAGCGGTTGCAGTTGGACCCTAACACCAGATCCTACGAATCTGCTCAAGGGGGAGGTGTTAGTGGGATATAGATTGGATTAAGCATGTTTTATGCATGATGGTGTTGCTGCGCGCTGATTGGTTAATTCTAAACCGATCAGCCCGGGCATATTATTGCAGAAAAATCTATAAGCTTCTTATGTATATACTATAAATATATGAACGTTATTTAAACTAGTGATTGCTTTTCACTTATTATTATTATTATTTTGAATACAATTTCATTCCTGTTCAACGTGTTCTGATTTTGGGGTCTTGTCGAGTGTCATCGTATAAGAATACTAAGCAATAGGAATAGCTGGGTCGTTTATATAGCAAATTACCATTATAACAGGACCCTATCTCTATTCAACCTGTTTATTTCACATGCATCGTTATCCTGACTAAAATTAATGTGGTTTATTTTAGCAATACAATTATACATTTGATAATCCTCATTTTACATGCACATCAATGATTCAGAAACGATTTCAATCTGCACTTTTATTTTTACTTCATATAAAAAAAATAACGTCGAATATCAACTATTAATAATTCAAATTTATACACACACAACCAATCATTCATTCATCATTTCATATGATTTACATATAGCTGACTCATGTTATCTTACTTACAAAAGGCAACATCTAAATATAATTAGATAAACACAGTAAAGATTTTATTTGATTATTAAAAACTACATATTTCTTTGACGATTTTAATTTGGATTCTTACTCTGAAGAAGTTTAGACAAGTTTTGTGGACGAAACATTGAAATAATTTAAATTTCAATCTCTAAAATTATTTCAGTTATAGTTTTCACATATCATGTATATTCATGATAATAGAAAAGATTAAATAACTATAATAATCATTTTAAAATAAACTATACTTTTCTTCTTTTTCGAGAATATTAAAGTGTAAAAGTAGTTTTTAACGGAAGTATATTTTCTAATAAATCATTATAGTTCTTATCAAAATGAGTAAAATCTTAATTATCCAAAAGAGAAAAGAAAATCAATCATATTTTAAATGTCAGGAGTTTTGTGGATATTATAGTAATTTCAACAGTTCGAATCCCATGTGTATGAGATTGCGAATGCGCACTGCTGAGAAGTCCCACAATAGGACGAAAAAGGCCGTCCAGTGTTTCCAAGTTTTCCATGGTGGTCTAGCTTCGATTAACTCATGATCTGAACTATCGAAATATTTTAATTGATCAAATTTTTCCATAAACAGTACTTACTTACTTACGCCTGTTACTCTCAATGGAGCATAGGCCGCCGACCAGCATTTTCCAACCCACTCTTTCCTTGGCCTTCCTTTCTACTTCTATCCAATTTTTGTTCATTTTTCTCATGTCTGTCTCCATTTCTAGTCGTAATGTGTTCTTTGGTCGTCCTCTTTTTTTAGCCTTCAGGATTCCATGTGAGGGCTTGTCTTGTAACGCAGTTGAGTTCTATAAACAGTAAACAATATTAATGAATAGATTGATTGGTTATATAAATCTTATTATTCTCTTTTTTTCTCTCTGTAATTAGAGAAGAATTCAAACAGTTCGCCATGAATTTTTTGAACGTCAAATTGATTTCTTTTTACAAGCATCAAATTTATTAAAAACTCGTTCACCAAATGAATTTATTTGTAATTTACAATTTACACGACTTAATCAACTTGAAGATTTTTGGGCTGATTATCAGTCAGGTGCATTACGTTATGTAAGTTAAATTAAAATAAAGTCTATTTTCTTTATTCACTTTACATTATATTGTGATGTGAGTTACTTATATCCACATAAGTAGTATATAATGATGGTCGGGCACTGAATATATTTCACTCGAAGATCGATAAGGAAAGAACGGAAACGAAACGTAATTTGTATGAAAATGCATGTACAATAATAATCGGAGACTATGAACTGATATTTACAGAAGGAATGGTCAATTGATTGATAGTTTGTATGGTTGTCAGATTGTAGTGAGCAGTGTGTAATTTTGTCCTCAAATACATTCGATTGTCCCCACCCGTGTTCTGTTCATTACACTACTTTATTTAGTGTGGGTAGTTAATTCGAAACTTATTAAATGCCTAGTAATTCTTGCTGATCAACTTCATTTTGGGATATCACTCACCTATATACCTGCAGTAAATAGATCTTTCTAGTAAACCTGATAAAGCAACAATTCAAATATATTTTCTAACAAACACAAAGAAAAATCAATTCATATTTATTTTGTCTTAGGAAGTAGAGACTACATTAATAATGAGATATAACTGATTGCGTAGTGGATAAACTGATGTTTTCTTCTGAACTACTCTTACTCCGTCTAATGATCATGGATCGAGGTGGAGAATAGTTGAATATAAGTAACGCATGTCACAACCACCTCAGTCGATGGCAATTCACAGCATAGTCAACAGATTTCCCGTAATTGCCTAATCCTATACATCAAACCTCAACATTAATCAATCTGTGACCTGGTTAGAAAGAAAGTTTGTCATCTTCAAACCCTAATCTTTCACATTACTGCTTAAACTCTTACTACTTCTACCACCATGTGATTTGAACCGACAACTGCATCTCTGTGCTAATGTGGTGTGACAACTCGAAGTTATGTACGTACGTACGAATTTCTACGTTGTGAATGACTGACCTTCAATCACTAAGCCACCGCTGCACACACTTCTCTAAATATTTGGTTCAAAGTGTTATAACAATAGATGCTACATATTTTAATATTCTTTTCGAATTAATTTCACAAAATAATTCTGTTTAGCATGCATAAAAATATTCCCTCTGATACTGTAATATTTCTCTGTTCCTTTGTTATCTCTCAATTTTCTAACTTAAGTATCTCATGTCTATACTGAGAAGTGAAAGGAATCGAAGTTTTTTTGGTGAACCACCACAACAGATACCTTCCCAGTCTTCATCAGTTGTCGAACAACATGTTGTGCCTGATGCTTTAGGTCGACAAAATGAAGTTGCAAATGCTGTGGATAATGAAGGAGTGGATGTAACTGTTCCTTTAATGCCGAATAATGAATCAAGAAATTCAGCTGAAAATAATTCTAATGATATCAGTGGTGGTAGTAGTTCGAGGCCAGTTAATCCAAAAGTATCTGGTTTCAATACATCAGAATATTCTAATCATAATCCTGCATATTCAACAGTTAATCCGGCCTCATCTTTAAATATGGCACAAGACGAAAACTCACTCAATATGTTGACATCTTGTATTGAAGCACTGAATCGTTCATTCCATCGTATGAGACGCCGTGAAGTCACTAGTCCATCTCTGCCTGCAGAACAAGTGAATGAATTTATTAGATTCGAATTGAATTTATTTGTTTCACGTAGAGAATATGAAAATGGCCGATGTTTATTAATGCGTAATTTACGTTCTATACCGAGTTTATGTCAATTGGTCTCAGCATCTTCATTATTAACACCAAATACTGCTGTTAATTCTGTCAGTACAACGCCATAAAATCTCGAGAAAAAAAACAGAAAATTCTTATGAAGTCTTTCTCGTTGATGTTTCTTTATTATTCGGGAACAATAAAACATTGTATTATTCAGTTCTTCGATATTTTTTGTTCTGTATAGCACTTGTAATTATACTCAGTTGTTGTATTTTTTTAAATCTTTTGTGTAATATGAAATGAGACCTATACTGTTTACTTTTTTAATCTCGATGGTAGCAAAGAACAGTCGATAACTTTGTGAAGAGAAATTCAGTAGATCGTTGTAGATACTCATCGTTTGTGTCGTTTTCTAAGTAGTTCACAAATTTTCATGATATCTAACTAAGTATGATTATTTTAATATTTTGAAATTAATTTGTTTTAAACTGCACAAAATATATGACTTTATGTCACATTACGTTTTGGAATATACCTGTTTTCAAGTTGAAAATTTCAATTGTTCAGAACAGTTTGATATAGTTATTGAGGCAAGCAAGCGTTCTAACTAATTTAATCACTTAATTTAACAAGATTTAAATGATTAGATAAACAGGTGAAACCTCATTGAGTTATTACTTTGGCTCCCAAATGCCCTGGTACGGCCGAGAGTAGGGAGAGTTTGCTCTCCCTCTCGAAATGCTCTCACATGGCCACGCATATATAGCCTCTGCCAGGGAAGTCCTACTCACTGCCTTCTCGTGCCACAGGTGTTGTTTACGAAATTGAGAGAACGAAAAGCTAATGTCCGGCGCTTTGACCTGGTTGGTGGATACGGAAAGTTCACCTAGGGGAGTTGGAAAACCCTCATTCCAAACCAATGGTGCACATGGGCTCCAGTATCCTGAAGGAACAAATGGCGTATGAATCAATGGTTGGTCACTGGCTAACATGGGACTGCATCTGCTCACGATGCTCCACTGCCTTGTGAATCAGATCTTTAGGTCGAAGGCTCGGGGTGCGGCCCCCTAAGTAAACCACCTGCTTCAGTTTGGGCACCTGGGCAGTATCACAGCCGTCACACAAATAGGATAAGATTTGTGTGGCCCATATATATCTGTTGCCCCTTTGTACCAAAATGAATGAAACCTCATAACATTTACCAATAGTTTTACTAATACCTATTGGGATAATCATTGAGTGATACTGTTTACATTGGTCACTTTAAAATGCTACACATATGCATGAAGGGAAAAGTGTATTATAGGGATAAGTTAATCGGAGTTGAGGAAGCTACTTCCCATTTTTCACACAAAACTAAAAAATGAATAATTTTAATTACATAGCGTGTGCAATCGAAATGTCTTTGTGTTGAAAGCACTTGTAGTCGTCAAGGGAATTTTTCTGTCATCACAAAGTATGAAAGATAATGTTAAGCGTATCACGCAGTTACTTTCTTGTATATAGACTTCACATTACTGGTGAATCAACCAGTTTTCATTTCAATTTATTTTGTCCATTGTAAACTTGCAAAGAATATAAGCTAGCTGATGAAGTTGGGATTCTAAGATGATAATAGGCAATTGTTACATATGAATTCCTCATATCGATAAGGTGGTAACGATGATTCTTCTATAATTTCATCCTAATAACTCTTTCATGAGTTTATTAATAAAAATTTTGTAGGCAGTGATAAATTTTCTAGAAAACTACTTTTAAGTATGTAAACGATTTTTAAAAAAAGTTACTGGAATGAATAAATTCGCCCTCAGATTAATGATGTTGTGTAGTGACTCTTCTACAAAATTAGGATAGGAAAACTGATAATGATTCTTTCAAAACCAATAAACTTCCTAAAACCTCCAAACTCTAACAGGCTTCATTAATTCTGTTGCGAAATGCGTTTGAATCATATAAACTGCTTACTGGCTGGTTAGTAGGTCCGAAATCATGTGATTTAAGAATCGCTCAATCTCCTTCCAATATTATGCTTTTACTATTAGGAAGTCTTAGTTTAGATTTTCATTATTCGGCTTTTATGAATCGAATTCGACTAGTAATTCAAATAAATAAATATCCGACTTTGAAGCAAAAAGTCGATGCTAAGGTTTCAGATAGATCCTTTATTTTTCAAAACGGTTTGATTTGTTCCATTCAGTTGTGGTTCTCCACTCATTTTAACTATCTGTCCTCCTATTAGTTTTTTCCCATGTATATTTCTCTTTGAATTGTGGAATATTGAGTGGATAATATTTTGTTTTAATTATTTATTGGACTTAGTTTAACTTTCAGGCCAGCAGTTGATGTAACTCGGTAGCTGAGTGAATGTTTATGCATAACTGCGTGCTCGTTTTACGGAGTGCGATAGTGACGATGACTCTAACGACAGTCTCGATTTTGTACCCAACAGCACCATCCTCGTTTAGCCCCAGCAAATTTAAGAGAGAAATCTTAGAAATGATTCACTAGAAACGACCAAAAAGACTAAGATTATAAACATTTTAATTTATCGAATGATTTCAGTGTTTTCAACTGAGTAGTCTACGCCTGGAGTGCAAAAAAAAGCAGTGAATTGATTAATACAATGTCAGTGCCCTAAATCAGATTAACAAACTTCATACTAAATCAATCGATAAGAGTGAAGACACATTAGAAGTCAATGAACGAAGTTCACCTAATTTACATGTTAATTTTTAAAATTGATTTCTTCCTGGACGTAGTATTTGGGTATTCAGTAGTTTCAACGGGCAAATTTTACCCTAAATAGGGAAGTAGTACTATAATGTGGGTTACTGATATCCACATAAGTAGTATATGGTGATGGTTGGGCATTGAATGTATTTCAGTAGATCGATAAAGAGAGAACGGGAACAGATTGAAATTGGTATGAAAATGTATGAACAATGAAATCAGAGACGATAGACTGATATTTGCAGAAGAAACGTTCAAGATTAAAACGATTAAATAGTTTGCAAATGAATTGTTTACTATATGGTTGTCAGATTGTAGTGAGAAATTCTGTAATTTTGTGCTCAAGTACATTGGATTGTCCCCACCTGTGTTACACTACTAATATTCGGGGATTTTACCTGACAATTTTATTTCGATGTGTTGATGGTGTACGGAAACTTGAACCGATGTCAATACGTACTAGGTTCAATGCTGTGACTGTTTGACTTTCAGTCATGATGTTTCCATTTCATGTAACTAAAATTCAAATAATTCACATTTATGTAACTTAAATTCATAATAAAACACATCATCGTTACATACTAACTCCTAAAAGTTTCAACTCATTCGCCACAGGAGTATTTAGTTTGAATTTTCTACTTCATAAAGTTTGATATTTTATGCAGTATTCATTAAAAATGTGTAACCTCCTTTAGAACTGGAGTTGAAAATTAAATACTTCATAGTTTGAATGTTGGAAGTTGTAATTAGATTAAAATTTTTATAGTCAAATGAAAATGTATAAGAACTGAATCCAAGTTGGTTTGTGTGATGCAAATTGTTTAGGAATTTCATCCCTCCACTTCTACGTATAAGGTGGGTTTCTTTGTGTTATGTTGTTCGCAACCAAATACATCTTTAAACTATACGATATTAAATTTTAAATGCACTCATATGGTTTACGGCAGAAGTTGCAATAAGTAATTTGAAAACAGAAAACCTTGTACGACAATCTAATTACAATGTTTTTAAAGGGACCAGGATGTTCTATAATTCAATAACTAAGGCAAAATTTTGATGTTAATCAGATTTGAGTCATAGCTCGCAGTTGACAGGTGCGAACACTTTCAGTTTCTGTTGTAACCAGTGAATTCAATGCTTTTACAATTTACACTTACTTCACACAAAGTTTGACTATGTAATATGCAAACGAGAAACGATATGTTCGCTGTGACCTTGATTAGCTGAATAATTCACTTTCTACACATAGTTCCCTTTATCAATTTAGCAGTATACCTCGTTTGTATTTCTGATCTACTGTGTGGAATTTAAACATATATCCTCTTAGGTTTCGCAACATGTTACGTGTCTAAAACTTTCCATAGTACCAGTTCCTTACTCTATACTTCTACAAGATCCATTTATTTACAACTATAATTTTTCTGGATGTGTTCTGATTGTAGAAACAAGTGTAATCGGAAAAAAATAATAAATATCTAAGAGTTCAGACATTATCTATTTACAAAAACCTGGTAAGTTAAAATAAAGCTGTTGAACACTTTATTAGATCTAAATAGTGAAAAAAGATGAGTCTGATATAGGAAGGAAATAATGTCTGAATGATGAAATATTTCAAAGCTGTTTATCATTACGGAGCTTCGAAAGTCAAGTAATACTACTTAATAGAGTGATTGTAGTTTGTAACTTTTCTGTATCCACGGATGACACCATACACAATCGAGGTTCACATCTTCAGATCTTATGGAAATCAATAACCCTTTGAACCACTGAATCGAAATCCAACAGTCCAAATTTTCAATCTCAGTTAATTTTCAAGATAGTCCAATCCTCATTCAGAGTTATGGATAAGTTATTGTTTCATTTCTGGCTTTTTTACCTCCATACATTACAGGTTCTCATTTAAATTTTCGGTGACTCACTTCACAGGTACTCACTATCATATACCAAATGATGATTAAGTTTGGTGATTTCACGGAAATGAGACTATACTTGCTAAATAGAAAATTATTGTAGTTGAATATTCCAAGCCCAACTTACCTACTTATAAGTAGCTTAAAATGTTAATGAAATTTTATTTGTTGTTGTTAATTTTCTGAAAATAATAAGATAACATGTATTATAATTTCTCTAACTCCATTGATTATTTTAAGTATTACTTACTTACTTACGCCTGTTGCCCCTCGTGGAGGATTATAGGCCGCCCATCAGCATTCTCCATTCCAAGTTAGGGATTGCCTCGTGATGCAGATTGGTGATTTTCTCAATGTATGTCCTATCCACTTCAAACATCTTTTCCTAATTTCCTCTTCAGATGGAAGTTGGTTTGTCCTCTTCCATAAAACTCTGTCGCTAATAGTATCAGGTCAATGGATGTTGAGTATTTTGCGTAGATAACTGTTTATAAATACTTGTGCCTTCTTGACGATGGATGTAGTAGTTCTCCACTTTTCAGCTCCATACAGTAGGACTGTCTTGACATTTGTACTGAAGATTCTCACTTTGAAATTAGTTGGCAGTTATTTTGAGTTCCATATGTTCTTCAATTGTAGAAATGCTCTTGTAAAATGTATTTCATCAGGTAAAAAGTATTAGCACGTTTTCTCACACGTATTAATACAATTCCCGTAATATTAACCGTTTAAACTTTATAACTTCAAAATGTATGAAAAGTATTTGTTAAACAGATAGGCAAGGCGTGAAATATGTTAACATGATGAATTACAATTCAAGTTATTGCAAAATATAACTGTCAAGTTACATAGTTATAAAAACACCCCCTCCGACTATTCCCATAAAATGAACGAAATATTGAAAATAAATCAAACGAAAAGGATGAACACGTAGGCGATGACTAAATAGGT